GAAAGAGTACTTCGAGATGTGTTTTCATGCTTGGCACATGCGCTGTCTCTTGGTTCTCTAAAAAATAACTTATTGTTACTTTATCAAGCACAGAAACAGAATTTGTTGTAGCAACTTCTTGTGCTTGTCAAGCCATATGGCTAAGGAGAATCCTTGAATAGTTGAAATTTCAGCAACATGGGGCTACTAAGATATTTTGTGACAATAATTCAGCAATCAAACTTTCAAAGAATCCAGTACTATATGGAAGAAGCAAACACATTGATGTCAAGATTTATTTTCTAAGAGATCTGAGCAATTATGGAGCCATTAAATTGATTTATTGTCGGAGTGAAGATCAAGTTGCTGATATTTTCACCAAAACACTCAAGAAAGAGTCATTCATGAAGCATAGAAGGTTTCTTGGAGTCTGCACGCTAAATTCTATGAAGCCTTTAAACTAAATTTTAGCAAACATTAGTTTAAGGGAGGGTCTGTTGATATTTTATATTTTGTAACTCTGTTTTAATTGGCTAATAAGTATTACTTTACTGCAATGACGATTACAATTTTTGAATTATTTCTCTTTATGATGAATTATGTAATTGTTACCTTTAAAAGGACTCCTCCTATTTTGAATAAAATAACTACCTTTTCATATTCTCTTTTCTCGTTTTATTATCAAATTTCATGTAAAAGGTAATAGTAGGAATGTAAAAAAAAAGTCATACATGCATGTATCTATAGATAAAATTCGCAACTGATAAAAAATAGAAATTTTTTGGTAACAAGTATTGATATTTTTATATTCACATGTTAATGGGAAGAGTACAAGTATCATAGTATTCGTACTTACGGATATACATATCTGTTAATATTCAATTTATTTGAACTTGTATAAATTCAATTTTATTTGAACTTTTATAAATTTGATTTTATTTAGATCTATAATAATTAAGTATTGTATTTTATTATCTTTTATTTTGGTTTATATGTAATCAAAATATTTTATTTTAACAATTATTGTTTGAACTTTAAACTTTTATGATTGAATGTTTAAAATTTGATTTTTAAATCTACTTATTGTTATTAGTATAATTGTGAAGAATATTTGAATTTTAATTTTATAATCTTCAAAAAAAAAATTATGCAAATTTTATTTAAATTTTAGTTATAATATTAAAAAAAAATTATGCATATTTTTATAACTTTAAAAAAGTTTGTTACAAATAACTAAAATTTATAGTTAAAGTATTTTGTTCAATATTTTTAATATAATTTTTTAATAAATACCCGCGAATATTCGGGAATATTAAAAAATTTGTGGTACTTGCTCAATGAATATCTAAACGAATATAAGAATGAATATGGGAAGGATATTTATCCAATGAGAGAGGTAGCACGGAGCTACTACCCATACTTGCCCCACCCCACTGAATTAAAGATTAAATTAAGAAGGTAATACATGTGCTTAGGATTAAATGTATATTAGTTGTTATATGTAAATTAATTAAAAGTTAGGTGAGATGTAAAAATATAATTGATAACATAATAATTAACATTGTCTTTAAATTTGAAAATAAAAAATTAATAAAAATAAAATTTTATTAAAAAATTGATAGATAGAAAAGAGCACAAGAGTTATTTGTTTTTATTGAATTTAGATTTTAACATTTATTCATTATGTATTAAAAATATTAAATTATATTTTTAGTTATTTATTTTATTTTTTATATTCATTTTGATTTTTTAAATGTTAAAATGATTATTTTAGTCTATTATCTTTTATATTTTGATCAATTTGCTCCTTTTAAAAAAATTATCATTCAATTTTATAACATGATTTTGAATCAAATTTTAATTGATTTAAAACGTGAAACTTATAAAATTATATTTATCTATATAAAAATTATGAAATTCAATTGACATTTAAATCCAAAAGAGTTATAATCATAATGAAAATCACTTAAAAATATATCTCACAAGTAATTAAAAATAATAGGAAATTAGATTTTTTTTTTAATTTTCAATTACCTTTTGCACTTATGCTTATGTAATTTTTACCATATTTATGAAAATTTTTATTTGAATTTTAGTTGCATATAATGAATCTAATAAGACAAGTTTAAAGTCCTGAATTAGTTTTAAAAAGATTCAAAATTATATCTCAAAATTAAAATAATCATTATTTTACAAGAGTTAAATTGATTCAAATCTAAGAGATAAAAGATTAAAGTAAACATTTTTAAAGATAAAAGACTAAAATAAATCTTAAAAAAATATAAAGGATAAAATGTATAATTTAACCTAAAAATATTAATTATTACTAATGATTACAAGATAACTTAATAAATTAATTATTATTAAGTTAACTTAAAAATTAACTATCTTAAAAAAATTTAAAAGCAACTAATTAATAGAATATATTAAAAGTTTATTTTCTTTTATTTTATTAATTATTTATTAATTACTACTATTACGTGTTAAATAATTTAAAGAATAAGTATTAATGAGTTTTTACTTTTTAATGATTATTATTGTTTATATATATAAATTGGGTATTAATTTGAATTTGACTTTTAAATTCAAATATATGTGTCTGTGAATTCTTTTAATTAAGATAATTAATATTATTTTTAAATTAAGGTAATTGTATTATTTTATATTTATTAAATAGAAGATATTAATGAATTTTTAATTTCTACTATTTGGTATTTATTTTTGTATCAATTTGAATTTTATTTTTAAATTTAAATATTCTCTCTTTTTTTCTTTTTTCTTTTTTTTACTACGTCCTTCAACATGAGAAATCACCATAGCTTTCTGAAGTGAAAATCGATGGCATTTTTTTTTTACTATCATTGACGTTAAAGAGACTAAAAAAAATCTTCTTTCCTGGAAAGCACGTGTTTTAGTATTTTTAATTTTGATTTTGTTTAAGTATGTTAAAAACACACAAGTCGTGTGCTCCAACATATCTGCATATTAAATGTTTAATTCTCTTCCAAAATGTGTCAAGGAAGATAATTAGCAAGATTGACAAATGATGAGTCAATCTTATGCATTGAGTAATAATAATATTAAAATAAATTATATAACAGAAAAATAATTTTTTAATTTACAAATCAATTTTATATTGTTGATTTGAACCTAAACTCATGTTCAAAAATAGGGATGGCAAAACGGGCCAGCCCG